ACAAAACTTCGGAGTGTTTGATAACTGTGGGAAGACAGGTGGACCAAAATTGTTACTGCTAAAGGTTGTCTTAATTGCTGGTTGTAAGAGCAACTCCTAAATGACTTTACAAAGATATGTTTCGGCTTTGTAGCTAATATTTCTCGCAGTATTGGGCTGATAACTTAGGGCTCACAGGGGAACAAATTTTTGAGATGATTGCTCTCATTTTCATTATTGATTGCCGGTATGCAGTGGGTTATGTATCATCCTTAAATTGTATGCAGCTGACAGTCTTTTGAACAAACAGAGCCAGGCTTAGGGAAATACTAAAAAAACCCACAGTTTCTGAACAAATGTCTGCCATAAAACAAGTAATAAACTGGAAATGCCCTCTCTTCCAGTTAAGTGTTGCATACAGAAAGATTTCTGGGTATTACCTATAAGGGCAATTCAACTGTTTTTAATTAAAATGTGGCTTAAGCACTGTTACTACCATCCACTGCTGTTTACTGTGGTCTTTTAAATGCTGAGATAAAACACGCATGTGAACACTAAGTAAACTTTAATGAGGTCTGGTAGCGTATGTGCGGTCACTCTTGACTGAGTTCCATGCTTGGAATTGTGAATTCTTCATTAAAGTATTGCTCTGGTTGCCTGATAGTATTAAAGGATAAGCTATTGTAAATCAAGTGCTACAGTTAAGTGTTGACCTTGTAAATGCAGACATTGATAGCTCTTCGGATGAAGAGGGGGGAGAGGGGAGAGCTGTATCGCAGTTTCAGAAAGTACCATTTTGAAAATTTCAGTCCATATTTTTTTTTCCTCTCATCACTTACTTCAATTCATTTTGTTACTCTTGTTTTATGTTAAAACTGGGTGCATTGTTGCAAAATGGATATGTTGCCAGTATTCTCTTCTGTAAAGCTGAAGTGCAGCCCTGTCAGACTTAATTACCAAGTTTGGTATTTTATAACAGCTGTTGAGAGCCTTGAATAATCTACTGAACATGCAATTTGTTTAGAAAGTGGAGCTAGAAGACATAGGGTCAACAGTGAAGAGAGAGATCAACTAGCATAGTTAACTGTTTACATTTTAAAAATTGAAATTATTTTCTAAGAGGATTTTTTTTTCCCCCTCCTGAAAACAGACCAGAAACTTTTTTAATGGAACTATTTTAAAATAACATGCCAAGGAATCAGATTTCTTCATAAAAGCAGTAAGATGAGATTTGGTTTAAAAGAATGAAAGATAAGTGGTGGTGTTAACTCTGATGTGTTCTAGATCTGTAAACAGCAGTTCTCATGTTACTCAGTTCCCAAAGTCTGGAAAATGTACTTTCATCCGCATAAACTACTTTGCTTCATTTGGGCAAGTAATATTCTTCCTGAAATGAGTATAGAAGGTAACAGAGCTACACCTTAAGTTCTTTACTCAAGCGACGCAGTCTGTTTTAGCTTTGGGAGTCTTGTATATATGTGCATAGTGGTACCATAGTTGATAGTATAAATATAATAGAAAATTTGTGAATCGGGCATTTTTAAAGAAACGGGTCATACACATCATTCTTTGGTTAGAAATTTGTCTGCCCGCTGTGATACTGTGCTTGTGCGCCAGTGTACTGAGAGAAGATTAAGGTTGCTGTGATGATGTATGTTTGTATGGCACAAGCTATATGAGCCTGAAAGGTACTGCATAGTAAATAACTGCCCGCGATTTTCTGTGGTGATGGCTTTTGACTGAAGTTGGCTTTTTTTTTATTGCGGAATCCTACTCCTTTGGTTTGCTTTACACACACACACACACACACACACACACACCCCCCGGTCTTTATTGTGAGAAGTGCTACCAAGTGTTGGGATACAAGCGTAGTTTAGTTGATCACACTTGATCTAGTCATCTGCAAGAGCAGCTGCCTGGTTTTTCCTTGTCCCATCCCTTCTCTGAGAGAACCTGTTCCCCCACTTCATCTCTTGGGATGCCTTTTCTAGCTGTATTTTTTCATCACTGTCACATCTTCTGCCTGAGCACACTGACTTGCTGTCTTCTATTAGACATTTTCTAGCATGGCAGAAAGACATTTTATGGAAAACTTGTGTCGAGATACAATTTGCACCTATCTCTTCCCAATGTGTTGGCTCAAGAGTGTTGCCTGAGCACAACTGAAAACTCCTTATGTTCACTGGGTGGACAAACACTTCTGAGGCTAAAACCATGGAGTCGCCCGAGGAGAACGTAGCTAGCTGAGAAGACTTCAGACTTGGTAATAGCACTCATTTTAGTAAGTATTTTAATAGATGTCTTTTTGGCAATGTTAGGTTAGTTTGTTAACTGTCATGACAGCCGGCATGTGTGTTGTTCCAGCCAAAGCCAGAAGTGTTACTATTTTTTGCTTGATGTTTTTTAGGTGGCAATTTTAGTGGAGTCCTAAGTGGTTCACATTGGGAAAACATTTGTAAAGTGTGTATTTTCAAATGTCAGAGGCTTTTGAGGAGTAGATAGCGCTATTTTTATTGGAAATGAAAGGGTTACTTAGGGCAAAGGTTGGGTGGCTCCTCTGCTCCTTGCTGTGCTGTTAGGCTATCGCAGCCTTAGGCCCTGATGCCGGGGGGTTGTGTCTCCTTTCCCTCTGCTGCTGTAGCCCCTCAGCAGGATGCCATCGTACTGCAAAAGTACAAAGATGGCTTTCAGCTATCTTTTTTTGCCTTGTTCCTGCTCTCTGCTAAGCACCTCTTGTGGTGCAGCATCTAAACTGTTCCCTATAGGAAATACTTTGGATATAAAAGTAGGAAAATTTTGTATGCTTTAAAGCATTTAGGAGTAGATGACTTCAATAAGCTAATTCAGTACTGCCTTACAATTGAAATTCGGCAACTGTTGTTTGAGTTACTTCATGGAGGTCCTCTATATACTGGAGCCTGATATCTGCACAGAAGCAAACTAACTAGTTGTCCCAAAATGGTAATCAGCAGAAACAGAAATGAAAATTGTACAGCGCTCTGCTGCAGGGGAGGCAGAGGGGTTGGTGGAACAGCTTGACTCACCTGCTTTAGATCTTCTTTCATGCTTTAGAATAATAATATATGAAATGCTGATTTGAACTTTCTGATTTCAGTATTGGTGTAGGATTGATACATATATAATGACTAGCTGAATATTGTTCCTGTATTCTGATGATCAGTTCAAAGTTTTATCCAGTAGATGAGGGGAAACTTAGTCATCAATTTCTGTGGAACCGAAGCTTCTCTTTAGCAAGATAAATGTTTAGGTAGAGGGTTTCCTGCAGGGCCACTCAGTTTCAGTGCAGATGTTCAGCCTCTGACCTGGGACATCCCCAAACTGCTGCTTGGGAAAGGAACAGCACGGCGAGCACCCCGGGACCTGCAGCTGGGGAAAGGGCTCCCGGTGCAAAGCTCTTGCTGGTTGCCGCTGATTATCCAAGGGACAGAGCATGCAATAGAGACCTGTTCCTTCAGTGCGATTTCCCTGTGCTCTTAGGTAGGCTTTTATTGTTCCCAGCCTGGGGTGAATCGGTGCTGGAATTTCAGCTTTATCAGGCATCTGCTATTCCAAAAGATAAAGCCCCCTAAATAGCATCCCAGGAGAGGGCTGTGTGGGAATCCCAGCACCTGGCCAGCGGGTGGGCAGGCGGGCTGGTTCAGCAAGATGTTTCGGTCGCCCAGAATTTTGCATTTGTGTGTCTGCCAGATTTTGTTCACTTTCAGCTTCTGGTTTTTATCTTTAGTTTGCTGGCTAGTAGGGTTTTTTTCAGGTGTTTAATCCTTGCGTTTAAATAAACTGCAGTACGCTGGAAGGTTTTTTCCCCATGTGTGCCTGCATGAATCTGTTTGTATCTAGTGTTTTCTTAAGTCAGAAGCAACGCTAGCAGTATTTTCCCTGCTTTTCATGAAACGAACCTCAAGTTGTTTCTCAGACATTTTCAGTAACAGGATAGGTGCCTTGAAGTTCTCCTAGGGAGTTACTACCGAATCCTCTTTAGTTCTCTGACGCTGGAGATAGGTGACCCTGCTTACGCTAAAGATAGATTTCCTGGGCTGCCGGCTGCCTCGCCG